GCCCCCCCTCCCCCCCCCCCCCCAAAATGCTTGGCTCAGTAAAAGAATGACCTGTTGAAATATGCGGTATTGTTGAAGAAATTTATTAACATTGTGAAGATCAAATTTCAGAAGTCTTTCTGAAGCATACTATGCTTTAATAAAATTTACAAGTGAGCCACACTAATATACTGTTGAAGAGCATTTCCATATTTGCAAACTATGGAAAAGGAAGAGAATGACAAAAGCCAACTGGAGGTTATTGGTTTTCCCTTGTGGAGAGTAGAGAGAGAGCACATATAGTTGGCTTCACTGAGTTATAACTTGTAGGGTGTATTTGTAAGTGCTCAGCTACATTATATGGCATAATAAAACGATCATTTTATTTTAGTGAGACAGGATCTCACTATGTAGTCCTGCTTGACCTGGAACTCAATATGTAGACCAGACTGACTTTTAATTCACAGTAATCCCCCTGCCTCCTCTGTCTTCCATCCTGGCTGAAAATTAACACAAATGTGCCATTTATGCTGTGTGATAGAAATACATAGGTTACAAATCTTCTTGTGAAAAAGGAAGATAGTCTGAGACTAGAAACACCTTTTAATAAGGTGCTCCACTGTAACTGCTGTGTGATATTTAGGAAGTCTCTCCACTGTGTGTGCTGTGTGATATTTGGAAAGTTTTCCCCAAGGAACTTGAAGTTGCTTTGTGTGTATATTTAATGAAAAAGGAGTCTTGGGCTGAGGAGATGACTCAGAGGTTAAGAGCACTGACTGTTCTTCTAGAGGTCCTGAGTTCAATTCTCAGTAACCACATGGTGGCTCACAACCATCTGCAATGAGATCTGGTGCCCCCTTCTGGTGTACATGTGTACATGCAGGCAGATACTGTACATAATAAATAAATCTTAAATAAATTAGTTAATTAAAAAAAAAAGGAGTCTTACTTTTTCAACTAAATGTTAAAGCAGTACAGAATCTTTAAAATGTTAGTTTTAAAACAATTTTATTGTAACTCAAGTATTTCAGTCTAAGTTAAACCTCTCATGTTTGCTACACACATTTATTTCTCGTCTGTGTTGTTGTGGACTAACCTCAGGCCTCATACATGCTCTGTAAGTGCTCTACTATCAAGCTATATCCCCAGCTCAAGATTATTCCATAATAGTCATTTATGAATATACAATGTTTTCAAAGTCAAACTTATTTTAATTTTTTGGAGAGCTTTTCATTTTAGGCTTATAACCCTAATATTTTTGGGGAGTTTTTAGACACAGGGTTTCTCTTTGTAGCCACGAGTGTCCTGTAACTCACTCTGTAGATGAGGCTGGCCTTGAACTCACAGAAATCCGCCTGCCTCTGCCT